TCATAGTAGCCTAACGCAGCGCTCGGTGAATGTGCTGATAACTTGAAATGCCGTGGCAACGATCGCGTGTTATGTCCATCCTGGCCTTTCCGTACCCTGAAAATGTAATCACATTAGAGACCTTCACGCAATTACACACCGTTGCTCGCTATTTTCTAATGAGCCCTAAAAATAAAATATACTCGGCCATTGACATGAAATTCTATTTCAAATACTCTATAAATTCCTAGTTAACTAATACTGATACTCCTCAAAAACCACCCCATCAATTAAAAGATTAAGCTTTAAACTGACGGTTTCATGTGGGCTATTTTACAAAACTGTTACCGTCACTGTTTTACATTTTGAAATCTTCTGTTTGATATGCGGTAAGTTAATATTATTCAAAGAGATAGCCTTGATACTTGTCCCTGAACCAAGAGAGTACACTGGGAGTTGAACAATGCTAGAAGACGACTCACGTTGGTGGTGTACCGTTTTGACCGCTGCTCAGTTCCGTGATATGCATCGCCTGGAGGGTTTGCATAGCCGCGCATATCTTGCGATTCCGGCACTCCTCGTAGAAAACAAGGCTGAACCCGTACGTTCTGTGCCCGTCTTCCTTCGTCAGTACGAACGAGTGGAAAGTTGGTTCTACCGAGTGTTTCTGTGTTCGGAATCTCAGGCCGCTCGGCAAGCAGAGCTGCAAAAGATTGAATATCTAACGAAGGGCTCCATTTTTTTTCTTTTTCATTCGTAACTAGGACGACGTGTACACCGTTGATTGCGAACAGTATACATATATCGCGAGCAATCTGCTGTGCATCCATTCTTTCGCGCCTCTTAATTCTCACCTTCTGCTGATTCTGTTAAAACTTCTCCGCTTTCGAACTTGGAGCTCGGGTAAGCAGAGGAGACGGTGTGTTTACTCAGCGAATGAATTGAATTCTTTTTAATTTCTGAGAGCTTGTTATCGATAATTAAAAAACGAAGACTGAAGTCGAATTGAAAATTCAATTAAAAGAATTTTATCGTACCATGCAGACAGCGTGTTCGTCGAAAGGGTTCCATGGTACAGAGTCCGGATAATGTCCCAAAACTTTACTCTTGTATGCTCGATCCAGAGGCGTACATTGCAAAGAGTCTCCTGAAACAGAAAAATAATATTTATACGATTTTCTTAAAATCTTGCGAAAAGGGACCACCTCCAAAATAATCCTAATTAACCGAATGCATCCCCATCAGAATCTCCGAGCAAAGACAACAGTTTTCTAGGGAAAGATAATTAGTCCCAGTTCCTCGAGGTAGATTCAAGTCGGTCAAACGTTTCAAGGGAACAAGCACACCAGCAGGAAAAAGAAACAATCTGCGTTTAAAGGGGAACGTGTTCCAGTAACAGGGTCGCGAGAATTCATTCCAGTTTGCGCATTGTTCTTAAGCTAAGCGCATCTAGCGAGGCTGCAACTTTTAACGCGCATAGACAAAAAGAGAGCAAAAGAAAACAAAGAAGAGAAGCTTCTGTTCTTTTTCTGGAAAAAAAAAAAAAAATTAAAATCTCTCCAACGGCAACGTCGGCAAGTTGTTATTGAACGTGGTACATATCCCAGAGCAGCTCGACCTGAATGAGACTGTTGAAGTCTTGGCAAGGTTCCAGCTACCTTAGTGTACGACGGACACAACAGCACCCTTGTACGGGGTTAATCGTTCATGATCGAACCGCTATGCCACCCAACGAGCCTCTGTAATGTATACGATGTGGCCTCGACCACTGAGAATGATTACACGTGGAAATAATTAGATACGGATACAAGCTTTCGGGTATATCACCATCCAAAAGTTTTAATTACACCTAAGGTATTTTTATTGTACACTTGATTTAATTCTTCGAGGGAATGAAACTGTAAATCGTATAAATATTAAACTTGTTAAATCTAAACATGTTAAATTACTTGGTATAAATACAACTTGAAAACCTCTTTACTAAAAGCACTACGAATTTTCACCCGCTCTTTGATCCAAAGTGAGAAATATTTAGCCACAGCTTAAATGGAACTCGAGATCAAAGAGGCATCCTTTTGGAAAAAAGCACAAACCGTGTATTCTAGCAGAATTTGGAAAGCTTACTAGAAAAAAGAGGGAAAAAACGTGAAAGAGTTGAAGTACAAGTGCTCTGCAGTCCGAGTGACTTGTAGAGGTTGCAGAAAGTGTTTCACTCGTTTTTAAAGTGGCTGCAGATTTTGTTGTTTTAAAATCAATTGTTTGCAGAATTTTTTAAAAATTTTCTGAGCTTCTAGGAAATATGACAAGGAATTTAACAAGCGATCTTGAAAATATGTTGCAACCCCGCAAAATAAAAGTCAACCACGGGGGTGCGGAAAACGTTTGCGTAATTCTTCCGATCCAGACGGTTTTTTTCCCTCAAAGAAGAAATATACGTGTTATCGTTGCATCTTCTGTTCCACGTCGAAATATTGCACGTTCGTTCGAGCACTTTTGGCATCTTTCCCTACCGAAATTACTCGAGGGTTCCTGGACTAGCCATGACAGTTATCATTGGCGATGCAACGCCGTAAAAACCTTTATTTCTTTTAGGCTGAATCGAAGGAAGGTTACGTGACGAGGGTTTCGTTCCTGTTCATCCCCTTCCAAGGAAACAGCCGGCTCTTTTTCGGCCACAATTTCGACCGATTGTCCTGGGAAGAGGTTCTGGATGAGTTCTCGTTCTCTTCTTCTATTGTGCATTCTGTTTCTACTTCTTTTTTCGTTTTTCTAACTTGTCATTCATCTTGAATAAAGTATAACCAGCTGGAATTTTAGTTGATGGTCCTGATTGATTTTTGGGACCAAGTTTTATCATATGAAAATTAAATTATGTAGTAGAATTGTTCATGAATTCGAATTCTTAAATTTACCACTTCACTGGCTATTATAGTCGTTCGAATTCGAAGTAATTAGACGGTCACAATTACTGTACTCTGTTCAAGGAACCAACTGAAGATTAATTTCTCTCGGTGACTTTAATTACCGCTATCAACTGCTCTACGAGCTAATCTCCGTTTGGAAATTCCGTGAACGAAGTAACAACGATAATCCAATGGACCGTGCTATTTGGCAATCGCCGACTGTCCTTCGAATATGTGCAATAAATACACCTCTGGCTATATGAATTTTCAATTATTTTAATAATTATAGAAATATTCACAAATTGAATTCTAAGGTTCTACTTTTTATCGAGATTGAAGAGGTGTTATATTATTGCACCATCGGTAAGATTGCAGTTAATAAATTTCTAGATGGGAGAAAGCACCTACGCGTTTCCTATACCGCAAATTATGCACTTCTGTCGTCAGTGAACTTAACTGACCGGAGAAAATTGTATGGTGATTGCTTAGTTAAACGATGGGTGCTGGCTGTGTCCTCGACTTGAACGAAATCTATCGTTTCCTTTGATTGTGGCCAATAAAAATTTCCGGCAATTTAAACAAAATTCATTGGAAGTTGAAAATTAAAATTAGGAAGGCAGAGTAAAAAAAAAAGGAGAAAATTTCAAAAAGTAGAGTAGAAGGAGATAGAAGTGAAGAAGATAGATTACATAAAATTAAATTTCAGAAAATAGAATCAAAGAAGTTAAAACAAAAGTATGTAGTTAGTATTGGAAGACATAATTTCAGGTAGAACTTCTAAAGTTTAACCTACTTTTTTTAATCATTACTATAACTTTACAACTCTTTTATTTTTACCTCTCTTATCATCCATACTGGTAGTCTATCGATTTATAGACATTTTTAAGCACTACTTCATGCGTACTGCTGTAGATAATTAGAGGCCCTCATGTTTGAAACGAAAAGCAGATATCTGACTTTAGAGAAAGAATCCTATATCATTAATGAGAAAGATAGAATATTGAGGATATCAAATATAGTGTAAAATCTGTATTTCGTATTTCATTTAACAGAACATACAGTTAAACTAATTTCATAATGATTTGCGTTAACGAAAATGAGTAAGGTGTTGAAAGTTAGTCTGGACAGGCCAAAAAATATGGGATACTATTTGTGAACAGAATATTTATAATTAAATAAGGAAAGGTGAAGAAATTTCGCTCGAGTTTCTAGCACAATCGTCACGGATGAAGTCATGTAACTTAATTATTGTCGAGGTAAAGATTACTCGAAATAATGCTCTTGCTTTCACCTTCGACTTTAACCTCAGTCAAGTTAACAAAATATCACTAAAACGAAGTTTCCCAATTAAAAATATTTCTTTTGTTACATTTGTGAGAAATAAAGAAATAAATAAATTGTTTCAACTTGAAAAAAAAAACTGTAATACGTCAACGATAATTTCCTACAATTTATAGTATTACGTCAGCAGGTGGTGACATATGTTAAAACCCATTATTTTTAATATCATAATTGCTGATAATGATGCAACTCGATTAACCAGTTTTTTTACTTTGTACTATCTGTGTCAGCAAAGGTGAGATTCAAAGTGAAAAAACGAAGCTTCTGTTAGGATCACGTTCAGGATGGATCAGCAAGGATAAGAGGCAGGAAGAAAAGAAGATTATAACGGAAGAGGGTAACGAAAAACGAGCATTAAACGTTAGATGTGCCCCTATACTACAGAAAGTATTGATTCGAGGGTACGTTACACGCGTGAGAGACACTGTATAACAAGTATTTTCTAAGAAGTGACAAGTATAGTGTTTCGTGAAATTTTATATAATGAGTGTAAAAAAAGAAGAAAAGCACTTATTTATTTGTTTAAAATAATAAAATATAATTTTGCTATATTTTACAGAGAATATTTCAAAATATTTGCAATGATATTTCATCGAAAAATAAAAACAAAATTCAATACAGTTTAGCTTAGAAAATTTTTCTTTTGCCTATCAACTGTTTTCTTCTTGTATGCATAGACACATTTCTTTCAATTTATTATTACAACCAACCAATCATATCACTGATGCATACATTTGCATTATCCAGTTGCACCAAATTGCACTCTATCCTTTTGTATTTACTCAACACTTTCTCGTCGAATGTACCAGCGCCTCTGTGACAATCGATAAACCAATAGAAAGAGTTAATCCGTTTTTCATCGATATCCTCTTTTTTTTTTTCAAACTTCAGCGTTGCTAAAAATATATTTCGAAGTGGAACACGGTTCGTACTAATTCTACCAGAAATACATCTATTTTGCTGTAAATCAAAAAGAAAGTTCTGTTGAGTAGAAAATTATTACGAGAACCCTAGTATCAGTAGAATTTCTAATTACCATAGAAGTGTGTATGCGGTGTATTTCATTCCCTTTCGTCGAACTACTCCACCCTACTCGGTCTACGAAAGGGTTGCATTGCCACGCGAGGTTTGTATGGTTTGTAAGTTTGGGTCACGATTGAGTCAGGCTCCACTATTCAAGGGTTAATTATAGTTTGAAACTATAAACAAAATTTGTTATGAATATTAAATAATGATTTCACTGAAATATGGAACAGCATGTGATACACAGTTGAACTTGTGTTTGTTTTATCAGCTGTTGTGGTGTGATAAGAAAAATATACAAGCCTATTAAGAAGAGTGTAAGATACATATTGAAAGAGTTTCTTTACCGTATCATGTGTGTCTCCTTGAGAAGAAATATTTTATTCTTGAGATATTTTCTCGTGTCACGAAAAACCAGGAAGATATTTTAAGCTTTCCTACAGAATGACTCAGTCCCTGCAATGGCGTATTAAAGCAAAAGTATTATATAGTACTGCGTCGATATTTCATATTAACACTTCAACACGTTCGTATCTAATTTGAATATTAAAATGATATTTCAAAAATATAGTAACGTTACTCTTCGACAATTTATCATAATTTTAATAAATCTGATTCACATTAATTTTCATAAATAAATAATGAAAGTGTTGGAAAACTTCAAGGTATCCTGTCTATGAATATGATGGTACTAAATCTGGCTAATTTAGAAGTACATAGAAACATTTTAGAATAATGTAGCAATCATTGCATGTGTAGCTCATATGCAGACCACACCAGTCTTGGTTCTATAACTATACTTCCGCCCTTTAAATGCGTACTTAAGTGACAGGGACCCCCTTTGTGCACAAATGACCCTGTGAACGATGACGTCATCCATGGCAAGAAGGGAGAAAGAAACATTTGAAAAATACAAATGATACATATATGTACTTTTTGTGGTGTGTTAACTGCTGGTATGATAAGCGATTAAGATGACCCCTGACAATCTTTCTTCGTGATATATCGATGACTGCTTCATCAAAAATATTTATGCTGATAAATAAACACAGTGTAATACTTCTTTTTTAAATATTTAGTAAATACTATACATACTAAATAAAATATATTAAATACTGTATTTAATAAATATATATGACTTTAGTTGTACAAGTTTTGGAAAGTTTCAAGCAGACCGAATTATTACAGTCGAACAGTTCCACCGAGAACAAGTGGTTTCTCGTTGAATTAAAGTGCAACGGGGGCTGTTGCATTTTCATGCGACTGCACTTATTTTATTATACGGTGCGTTCATTGAATTATGCTCCGTTTGAAGACGTACACGTTTTGCCAAGCTCACTGACACGAAATGAAGAAATATTTCTACGAACAATTAACGGGAAATTAAACGGTGATGCTTGAAACTGTATCTTCACCTTATTAAGTAACTTGAATTTATCTAGGCAATTATAATATTATTACCTTGTATATTTTACAGATTCTAAACAACTTATATTAAGAAATGTACGTGCAATTAATAGGTAAAATGGTAGTATACTTTCTCCTGAATTTATTATCTTTCTTGTTTCTAAATATGATTCCCATTTTAATTGCATCAAGTAATTATCGCAGTATTTGTAATTTAACTTTCCAGTGGTAACACTGTAAAAAAAAAAGAAGAAATTTAACGTCGATCAAATGATCTCCTTGATAATTAGAAAATGAATGGAAATGTATACCGTTGTATTTAGAAGGAAAAGCATTGTTTTCCAGTCGAAGAAAAGTGTAGTCCAGAAATTAATAATTCTACTGGAAGAGGGATTACGGTACTTGCAAAATGAAAGATGGATTAATATGATTTAATATGACAAATTTTTAGATACATATAACTGCGAAAAATCACTTTTCTGACTTTCACTGTACGTCTAGTCATTCACGTTTAATAGCTTAAGTTTGCATGCGACTGGATCGATCGAATCAACTGACTCTACCAAACATATTAAATTGACGAATGGCCGAGCCTGAACACAGTAGACTGCTTCTATTGAAAGGTTTGAGGGCCTTTCATACCGGAAGCCCCAGAAAATAAGTGTAAATGTAGGAATAAAATATTAACAGATAAGCTCTGTGATCATAGATGTAATCAATCTCAGGTTTATTTCAAGTACATATCTCTAGGTAATATCCATTTGCTATCTGATATATCAAATTAAGATTACATATTTCAAGCAATATCTTATCATGAATAATCTACCACTTTAACAATAAAATTGATATTTTACTACGCAAGGTATGAATAAATCTATATAAATAGCATATCCAGTATATCAAATTTAGAAATATTTTATTAAACACAACAATGATTAATAATTAATTTTAAAATTCAATATGTTTAACTGCCCTGATAATATTTAAACCTGTTTCTAATGCGACACGTGGTAGACGAGCGAGTTCTGTTGTACGAAACCGCGGTGTTCTGATTAATTTCGTCACTCTCGAGAATGCACACGGTGCATTGCGCTGCATCTGTTGCAGCTGCACTCAGCATGCAGTATCTTTAGAGTTTCTCCGGTTTCTTTGTTGCGCCGCGCTTTACCCGAGAACATCCTTTTTCAGAGAAACTCGAGAAAAGCCATCAAGTTTTCGTTTTTCTTGCCCTCGTTTTTCTTTTGTACTTTTTCTACGATCATCGCCACGAAAAGCGTACCTTTTCCCTTTTATTTTTCTCCTCTCAAAAACGTAAAATTGCTTTTTACGAGAGCGATTCTCGCTTCGTAGCTTGTAAAATATTGCTGTACAATTATTGCATATTTATAAATTAATCCATTAGAACCGACTTGAACGAATATTTTAACTTTATTTTCATAAGTAATTTTTCTTCAAATGTAAATTCTGAGAAAATTATAGAGACGCGCTATGATTAAAGATAACTGCATATAAACTTAAGTACGTTTTGCAATTGGATTTGGAAGAATATTCGTTTCACGTGACACAGCTGAACACGTCGAATGGACTAGATCAAAGGTTACAATTCAACGAATGAGGGAATTATCTCCTCTTCTTGTTGCCATTGTTCACAATTAGTATTTGTTCGTCGAGCAGAATATACGTCCTACAGCACATCAGAATTACGTTTCAATTTAGTCCCGTGTATCTCATGGACACACATCAGTACAGATACTAATTGCTTTTATTTTGCCTTCTTTTTACCAAATTTTTCCAAGGCATATACATTGAACTACCATCGAACAAAATATTTAAAATTTTAGATGTTTAATTAAATGAAGTTAAAATCAAACGTTATTGCAAAAGTATCGCATAATTGCGTAGAAAATGCAGGCCAGTGTAACGCTAGAAGAGTTAGTGATAAGTCATTGTGCGGTCGCGATAGTGGTGCACGCTGATGCATCGCATGCACCGTTGTGCACACGTGTTGCATTTAACAACCGTAGAAATTTGTACTGAAATAAGTGTGTCGTAACTTAATACCAGCCACTTTCATAGAGTAGTACGCGAGTTTTCAGGATTCAATTACGACGGATGCATTTGATCACCTTGAAAAACTAACAGTAGTATACTAATAAACCCGATGAACCGGAAATCCATTTTTAGAAAAGCTAAGCATAATTGTGCAAAGTTTGGACTTGGTAATCAGTGTTCCAAAGGTCGTACGTTTCCCTTGTTATGAATTACGTATACGGGAAGCCATGATACTGAAATATATCAATCGAAAACAAATGTTTTCGCAAGATACGTAAACAAAAAAGACGAGTGACCATCACTCGATACTAAAAGATTTTCTGAAGTACTGTGCGCAAAAAGTAAAACGATCCTTTCGAGCCGTTCTCGGAAAACCTAGAACGAACCATAGAACCATCTTTCTTCAGGAAGATCCGTTGCTTCCTGTGCCCTCATTGTTCATCTTTCAAGAAGTTTTGCGCGGGCGTCTGCTACCAACTATCGGGAAATCAAATATTCCTTCAACTTCGTTAGACCGCTAATCGCATTATCAATTCTATGAACACCTACCGTTATTACTGACCATTGACTATCAATAGCGGTATTAAAAATTTGATACGAAACATGTTTACACGCAATGTAAATTGAATAATTTTCTTATGTAATGAAACATAATAAAGATCCTTTATACGAGAGATTAAAAATAAACGAATGAATATATCGATTTAAGTGGCATTAAGTAATATAAAATTAAAAATACACACGGTCAACTTGATTCCTGTCGGGCGGTCAATTATTTATCAAATCCTACTTCCCTTGACATTATTTACTTATTGAACAGATTATACGATTTATTTAACAACTGTTTATATAATATACAGAAACATATCACGAATAAAACATTCGTTCGAATTGTATTGTACTGTAGGGTAAATATACAAACGATGAATATTTCTCTTTATTGTTGCACGTAATGAAAAGAATTTCAAAGGGCATTCCAGTAAGCTGTTAAAAGATGCAGTGAGAGAAATGTACGACGGCTTAGAATATCTGCAAAAGTTATGAAAATGTATAAAGTTACTAATTAATCTTGTCAGATTTCGCAATACAAACGTGTCACGTTGAATGTAAACAACAGTCAATGATACAATTCGCTGATCTGAGATAAATTATCAATGTATATACCGTTGCGCAATCTACTGATTTCAAAAACTGCAACAATAGTAGAACCTTTCTATCAGGCTATAAAAATCATTAAACCATTCGTAAATGATGTTGAAAATTAATTAATTGATAAACGACTTGTTTCGATGATATGTTATAGAAAGAGAAAACATATTTACCAAAATATTTGTCCGGTTCCAAACCCGAATCTTTGTCCAGTCCGCATATGACAAAATAATCCGCGAACCTTTGTGGATGTTGCTCTGGTCCGCGCATTATTCCCAGGCTCCCGTTCATCTTTCCCAGAAATAAGATCAGATACGGCTCGCCTGTGCGGTACACGAAACACCCTCACGAAAATGATTTCCACATTATGAACCTCCACGAAACTGTCATTTCATGGAAGAACGTAACAACAGCTGATGATGTTGACGCGTACCAAACGTAACGCACGACTCCGCGGAGTGCGGACCTCTCGCCGCGAATAATTGATCTTTACTGTACCAAGTGAATTTGGCTACAAGTCGACTGGCGCATACGCTGCGCTAAGATGGCACATAAATACAAACACCTGAATCTTCTGAATAGTTGTAAGTAAAAATAATAAATATATATTGAAATACCTATATTTTGTTTCTATACAGATGTGTTCCATTACCTTCTAAATTATTTAATATATATGCGATATATCTATGTAAATGATTTAAATCACAATAAACTGAAACCCTTATAACCTTTGTGTGCTATTGACTTCTTTCTTTTGTAAACAATTTTTGTTCAACTTAATTTGAATAAATGTATTGTAGATGTAAGTTGAATTATATAAGTTTTTAGATAAAAATGATTTATGGTATAAATGCGTATTTCATGTTCACGAAAGTGATAATTTCTTACGCCATCTATGTAATTGTTCAGTGCACAAATATTTGTTCACTCGTAGAAAGGTTAGATTTGTGAACTTCAACTTAAATTTCTAAAGATACGATAACACTAGAGAAAATTTTAGAATTTTCACATTTTTACAGATGATGGAGGAAGTTGACAATATAATTATTCATTCATTACGTCAAATAGGCTGGTAAGATTTTAAAATTGAGTAATACTTGTTTGTCATATTTGATATTTACTGACAACCGGTTTTATAAAAATAATGTGGGTGGTACTGTTATCTATATTCAATGTTATACCTTTGAATTGTAACATATTATTTTATTTTTTATTCAATATTTATGTAATGACAATCTTCATTTCTATGCTTAATGATTAACATTAAGCACATAAATATTAACTATGTTTCAGTGACATAGAAGAGGGTATAACAAATCTCAGTGGTTTTAACACAGAATTAGTGGTAGAGGCAACAATAAAATGCTTGGATATAATAAAACCAGGTCTTGGATTATCTACTGTTTTACCTATAAATATGGCAGCCCGTTTTCGACTGGGTGCCACACTTGCTCAAGCATGTTCAGTAAGGTTTAGAACATATAAACGAATGTTTTAATTATTTATGTAACCATTATCCTACCTTTGTTGACACATAGTTTATAAATCTAGGAATTAGGATACAAAGGTGATATTGGCTATCAAACATTTTTATATAGCTCAGAAGCTGACTTAAGAAAAGTTTTTATGTTTTTGATTGAAAAACTACCAAAAGAAAGTGATAAGCCCTTAAGTGAACCAGTTAGCAACATTGCATTATTAGAAAAATCTATAGCAACAACAATAACTCAAAGCTTATCAGCCTCTTGGTTACCACATTATTGCCATACAAAAGGATTTAGAAACAGAGGAAGAGCAAGTATTCCTTACAAATCTGTGAATTTAGAAATACCAAGAGTAGAAGATGAAGAAGGTAATATTAATTATTACTAATAGTATTTTATAAAATATAATACATGTCTCATAAAATTGTTGTCCATTGTAGAATATAAAGAATATTTCATACATTATCTACAGTCTGTTCCTGAACAAATCCAAAGTGCACCATCTGTTTTACCTTCTTTGATATCCTACAATGCAAGAGCTACTTGTTCATATTCAATGAATATTCTTGATCGAATAAATTGGTTGAATGAGCAGTACTGTAATAAAATCACTCAGGTTAATACATCTGGTGATGTTAACGTTTTGAATACAGTTTCAGTAAAAAATGCAACATTACCCTCCAAGGTAAGAATTAAAAAGAAAAAATTACATTGAATAATATTTATACGATGCGATATATTGTGATTTGTCATTATTATAGGAATCTCAGGTAAAAAATAACGGTACTATCGAACCTACGCTTGCGAAACAAAAAATTCTTAAACAAGTAGACAAAGTGAAAGAGCAAGATTTAAAGGTAGAAAAAGTAAAGATTGAATGTGAAAATTTCCGAAGCAATATAGAAGAATTACAGGACGTGATTAAAAAATTAACTACCAGTGTGAATCAAGTAACCATAAATTATCAAAATGAAGAAAAAGAATTAACAATTAATGAAGAACAGAAAAAAATTAAAGCAAGAATCTATGATCTGTTACAAGATGGAGAAGAAAACATTAAGAAATTAGAAGCAGCAATTGAAATTAGTACAAATAAATTAATTAATTTAAGTAATCAGTGGGAGAAACATAGAGTACCGCTAATTGAAAAATATAGACAAGAAAGAGAAAAGCATTCGACGAAAGCCGTAAGTATTGCTATACTAGCAAAACATGACATTAAAACTATATCTAAATTCAGAGTTACATATATTTTGTAACACTTTTAGAGCGCGAGTCAAAAGAAACTGGATGAAATCAAATTGTTAAAAGAAAAGAAAAAAGAACTTCAAGAAGAATGTCGCAACAAAGATCAACAATACTCGCAATTAGTAACGGAAGTTCACAAACTTCCTAAAGAAGTAAATAGATCCGCTTATACTCAACGAATTTTAGAAATAATTAATAATGTTAGGAAACAAAAAGACGAAATCAACAAAGTTTTAGCTGATACACGAGAAATTCAAAAAGAAATCAATACCCTTACCGGCAGATTGGAAAGATCATTTACGGTTGTTGATGAATTAATATTTCGAGACGCAAGAACAAATGAAGCATCAAGAAAAGCTTACAAATTACTAGCCACACTCCATTCTGATTGTAGCGAACTTGTGAGTTTAGTAGAAGAAACTGGTGCCACTATACGAGAAATAAGAGACTTGGAAGAACAGGTAAATAATATCCGTCGTTAAAAACTACTTTTACATATTTTACAAAATATCAGGCCTTATTGTATGAAATACATTCTTTTTTTTTTTCTCAAGATCGATTCTGAGTCTACGAAAAATGTTGGGGCAAATCTAGAGAGGATAACTGCTGATTTGAAACAAATGAAGCAAGAGACAGCAGCATTAACAGCACAACTACAGAGTAAAGCTTCGTGATCGTTATATAACATGTGATACTATAATATAAATTGTAATAACAACGACCAGGTAAAACTTTAACTAAAAACTAAAAAAATATATATAATTCGTTAAAAAGTTGTTTATGAGATAAACAAAAATTCAATTTTAATCTTTATAGGACATTCCTTATAAACGAGTACGATTTCGAAGACCAAATTTTATAGTCTTAAACAGTGCAGAATTTAAAGGTAAACCTATTAAGACTAATTGCTAAATGTGTGCTTTGGTTCAAACTTATAAATATGAAATATGAATATGATTGAACCAAGCATATAACATAACTTCATTTAAATATTAATGCTCAAATGAAACATCATTTGTTACAGAGCCTAATAATTTTTTAGCATAATGTTTAAATGTACAATTAATTTTCGTATTTCTCAGAAATAAGCACCTACAAAGAAAGCTGTTATAAATCTACATACTAAATATTACAAAAAAAAAAGTACTTTTAAGCGATTATGTACAAAATATAAAAGATATATCACACTTAACATATATTTCTTATTTCTTAGCCTCGTGTTTCTTATAAAAATGATTTATAGAAATACGATTTATTATATAGTCTGTCAATCATAAATATATTAAAAATTAATTTTTCTAATTTCAGATAGTAGGTGGTACATATTCTTCCTCGTGTTTTAAGTCTCTCAATTTTTTTGCAGCACGATGTTTTCTGAGAACCCGGTCCATTTCCTTCTTCTCAGCTGTCTCAAGCCTCTCTATTTCCAGTTCCATTTCTTCTTCCTTTTCAAAGTAAGTTAAAAATTTTTCACGTTCTTCTAAATCCTTCTTCATTTCATTTATATTTTGTATCCTAGCCTGTCTATTTATTTCTTCTAACTGTTTGTTTAGAACTGTTTCTCTTTGCTTTTCCCATTCGGTATATTTCTGAAATATTAAGAATTGATTAATTGCATAAATAGTTAATATTTCTAACTATATTTAGTATACATTTTTAACATAATATTTTCTATTACTTTCAACTGTTCATTCATATCAATTTCAGATTGTTTATTGACTGCAGATTTAACATTATTTTCTAATACTTCAGTCATATTATCTTTACATAATTTTTTTTCTTTCAATGCATTAACTTCAGACATTAAATTCTCTAACTCATTTGGTATTTGTTCTTTGGGTATATGTGCATTATCTTCTCCTATCAATGTGAAAACCTCATCATAAACAATATCTTCTTCAACTTCATCTTTCCATTGTTGTATTAATTTCAATACATCCTGATATTTTTTATATAATATCAAACCTCTTAAACAACAGGTTCTTCCCAATGTGTTATTCATAGCTTTACCTTGAAAAGCTAATGTTTTTCCTACTAAATCCCTTGGATCTGTGAGATCAAAGTGATCATCAAAGTAAGGATTTCTAAGATAGTCAACACGTACTTTAATCTCTTCTTTAGAATCATCTACTGGCTCTGGTGGTTTTTGCCAAACATCAGGATTTTCTAAATATTTATGACAAGAATATATGGATAATGCATTGGTTATAGGATTTTCAGTGTCTTCTTGGAGCATGGGTAAAACAGCAATCTTAGCTGCATTAGCATAATCCTTCTTCTTTAGATATGTATCCATAAGAATATTATAACAGAGAGAATCAGGGAAAATACCATAATTGAGTCTGTCGTGTAAGATATTTACAAGGTCTGTAGTGCAATCATGATCTAACAAAAATCTTATAACTGCATGGTGTGTTGATTCTAAAATATTTGTTGCTTCTGCACTTAACCTTAAGTGATGAAGTGTGTAAAGCAGTTCCTCGCTCTGATGCTTGTCCGCGATAGTATTCGCAAATATATCAATGTCAACTGCGCTAACTTTTCCTTTACTAGTAAAGTTATGGTCTAAAGTTAGAAACAACTGTTGCGGGTTAACTTTTTTCAATAATGGTAATTCTAACCGAGCTTTCCATGCTTCTTCACACCGGTATGTTTCAGATAGAAATGATCGTTTTTGTATCACTGTTTTGCAAACCGTATGGTACACTTTTGTACCATAATTGAATAGTTTGAACATCTTTTATTCTATTTTTCTCATTAGTTTTTAATTTAGCAACATCCACCCTAGATTGGGTGGTGAATATGTGACTATTCAGAGCACAATTGATATGGCGATTTTTGTCTCTGCTGTTTCTTGTCGGAAACAGCGGAAACTATTTACCGATTTATATTCGCCACTTTTTAATAGATGGTGTGGTGTCAGTATTCTCTGTTTCGGAAAATCGATCGGCAAGCTGCTGAGTAGTTTGCGCCGTTTTTGTATAGATGCTGCTGGGGTCGAATTTAAAAAGTGTTTAATTTACGGCGGTCTTTTCTAAATATTTATCAGAAGACAGTTTTTAGGAAACGATACCGAGCTGAACGCTACGATTCGGGAAAAATATGTTATTCATTTTCAAAACGTTTTGTTTGCCTTATTTTTGAAGGAAGTAATTTATTAAGCAGGGAAATGATGTGTCAAAGGTAAATCGTACTTTCGAAATAGAAAATAATTCGTCAATTATTCATTTTCATATTTGCACTTAACAAACATCTGTTATCAGGAAGTTACTAAACTATATATAAATATATCATCATTTTATATTTCTATTTATCACTGCACAGGATTTGATCCCGGTGTTACGATTATTACTATTATTCCTTTTGCTTCCTTTTGAGTACTTAAGTAGTACAAGATATCTTTCGAGGGTAAACGATTAATCCAAGGATAGTATCGATTCAATTGAATTTCTATTATTCACTTGAAATTTTCCAGCTCCAAGATAGTTCAGTGGATTTCCAAATGCTCTTCGATCGTCTGATAGATAGATAGGCTGTAGATTGACAACCAAAGGCCTTGAAGGATCTAAAAATTTACATATATAAAGATTCTCAGAACGAGTAACACCTTGAAAATTAATATTAATAGATATTTTACTCCCCCTTAATTAGTTAGGACTATTGAGCAAGGATCTATTTGCTTTCTTTTCTCACTTTATTCACCTCAGTTTGTTATTACATAAATCGTTATTTACATAAGAATATTAACTAACTGTTTGATTGATAAATTTACACTTCTATCGAACACAGTTTCGGTTCATACAATTTATATACGTTTTTTGTACTTAGGAGCTTCTTTGTCTTAATAACAACAACATAATTAAATATATTTTATATTATTTAGAAGAGAAGAGGGGGAATATTAAAGTATGAATAAATTCGTTGAGTTTGTCTTTACAAGAAAGTTAATAGATACTGACCTGAAGAAGTATCTTGGATTGTCCATTGTTGTTCAATTGCATTACGAGTAATCGCCTGAATAAAGTGAAAATTCTATTTTTAAAATAATTTTCTCTTTGGAAATGCTGGCGAGGATGTTTTATGAAAGAAACAAATGATTATTAACACGTCACAAATTTAACTGAAAAAAAAAATATTTTCAATACTATGGAATATGGATAATTAGTGTTTTAATGTGTCTGATTACACGCGTCTATTTCTACTGCTTCGCTCGACGTGTTAATATCATTTTAATAATTAATAGTACTTCGATGCAACGTGCATATTAATCATCTGATCTCATTGTTGCAAAAATTGCGTTCATGATTCATGCAATATTGATTGATGAATGAAAATCCTAAAATTCTAACACTTGTCAGTGTTAATAAATCTAAGGAATCTGGTCTGCCCCAAGAATATCCTAACATGCAGATGTAGATTACATTGTTTTGGAGACTCAGAAAGCAGAAAGTAAAGAGAAGGAACGATGCAACAAGCTTTTTGCGATAATATTGATACCTCTAGATTTCGGATTGGATTTTCGTGTCATCGTGTTCAGGATTGGTGTTTAACGACTCAACACTTATCCTAGGTGAACTTTCCGGCTGAAATGATCACATTTTTCAATTATGTTTCTTCTAATTCTGCAAATTCTTGATTTCCTTACAATCTCCATGCCATGATTATTTTTCAATAAATGTTTCATTCATACAGGAGCGCGTTTGATGGGTTTTAATGGAATGAGATGTAACAAATTCTCAAAATTGATTTTTATTTGTTGTTGATGTAACATTATCAATATTGCATATTTATATAAAAAAAAAAGAAAATGAGAAACATTGATAATGACAATGAAAATGAATAACATTGATGTAGTGAGTCGTGATTTGTTTCATTCCAATGAAAGGTTTTTATTGTTGGATATAAAGATTGTTATCAACATTGGCATAGGTAGGATTTTTTTTCTAGGGTGGGCCAGATCTCATAGAATTGTGGAATTGTGAAATTTTTAAATCTTAAGGTTTTAATTCCAAGGTTTTGAAATTTTTAAATCAATTCCACATTTTTAGAGGATTGAGTCCATCTAGATTCTACCTAGTTACGCCAATGGTTATCTATATTCTTTATATCAAAGATCTTTATACCTTTCAAGGGTAGAGATCTATCTGTTCAGAGAATAATTTCTCGAGGCTTCTCTTACCGATTTCGCGAAATCTTTGTCGTCAATAAGCTCTGCTTTCGATTGATCTGATTCTTCCTCGTTCTGGTTATCTTTCTTTGAGTCGTCTTCATCATCTTCTTCTTCATCTTCTTCCTCACATTCCTCTAGTTCCGGTTCCTCTTGCAAATCCTCCATCGACTATACAAACGATTCAATATTAACATTATTTGTTTCCTGCATTAAAGTCTTGCTTTATATTATCAAAAATCTTATTATGCTGTTATCATATGCAAAATGTAGTATTAAAAAAGAAAATCAATAATTTTTCTTCTTTTGGAATATTTAAAATCATATTAATTAACAAATATTCAATTTGATCTCTTTATGGAACTCATTATAAACAAATATCATTTTATCAATATTAAATAAACTTTTTCTGATATAAAAATAATTCTATATTCTATATTAATATCTTCGAATTCTGTTCTACTGGGGTTTCTCTTTATTTTGCAAATTTTTTAAAGCATTCCAAAGCGAGCTTGCAAAGTAGACAAATTTAACTTTGCAATTATTAAATTATTTGATTGTAAAATTCTATCGTTCTTCATATATTTAAAATAGTTTAATTTTCTTGGAATACTGCTTATATAATTTCGCAGTGGAACAGCGTCTATTTCGCAAGTTGCTTAGAACTTAATACATAATTTTTATAAAAAAAAGAAAAAATCTTTACGAATGGATTTGGTTTCGGAGGTTTAGTGATGATGCCTGTATTTACCCCTAGGAGCTCCTTTTTCTCTGGTTCTTCATCTGCTGCAAAATCAAAATGACTTTTGCTTTTTTAGTTTCCCAAAACGTTCGCGTTGATCATCCAATTGAAATTCCAATTCGGAAAGTGCTTACCTTTTATATGAACCCTTTTATCGTTAACCAAGTCTTTAGCTTCCGCGTTGGTCAGCGGTTTATACTCCTTGCTAGTGGGCTTTACGTGGGTACCGTTGGGTCTTTTCTCGTCTTCGTTCACGTTCTTAAAACCCACTGTTTTTACCCCACTGGCTATCGTGTCCGTGTATTGTTGCGATTGCCATCTTTGAGAGCCAGAGGGTGAAACTGACGTACTACTAACGCTAGCCGCTCGTCTACGGCGTCGGTCTTTTCTTGCGCTTCGCCAGACCTCGTAAATGCATCCGATCACTGCTGTTACGAACACACAGCACAACGCGATGAAGATATAAGTACCAGCACCTTGTTCCTCTTGAGTTGCATCCGAATACTGAGACTTGTATAGTATTCTTTCAGGTGGATCTTCTACCCAGGCTCTGTCACGACCCTTTGGCAAAAAATTTGCTATAAGAATCTTGAAACTTTCATAAATGAAGTTGATTCACTTAAGGCTATGTTAGATTCTTAGATCCTTAGATTTTTAGATTAATAAATTCATAGATTCTTAGATTTTTTAACCCTTTGGTACCATGACCGATTATAGTAGGGTGTCCTAAGGGAGGCTACACCCTGAGGTCCACTTTCCAGGAGGTCCCCTCCTAAGCTTTTCATTTTCTATGGCAAAAATAAATCCACAAATAAATAAATAATTTCCTTACCACACTGTCGTTTCTAGGAGGGTCGAGGCCACGTGGTTGAGCATGAAAGACCGCGCACTGAGCGCTCCTAACTCCGGCAGGTATAGTCGCACGGACGGTTTCGCTGCCCTGTTTCGTAAATAGCATATATTCCTCGAGTGGCTTCATGCCAGGTCCCCCGTTGATCGATACCACGACGTCTACAAGAAGAGGGTATCCGTCATTTCGAATTCGCAATGTGGCTGACGATCGTTTTGTCTAACATCAGAAAGACAGTATTCTATTAGAAGAACGCTCGCGTCGTCCTCATTCGATGATCGTTTTACGAAAGACTTTTTTTTTCTCATCGATTGATTTAACGTGTCACTCACTGCTCAGACATCCGGTGTATCCTTTGTATGCGCTGAATCTCGAATCTGTTGTGTTCAGACCGCCTAATTGGATCTCTGTAACACCTGGACTCTCGTCCTCGTCGTCTCCTAAGTTTAGCACTGGAATTGGTAATAGTTGCACTGGCTCACGGTCGATCTATCAACAAAAAGAATGAATAATTATTGGAAGAAAAGAGTGGTACATTGTGGAATCGAGTCCTTTTAACTAGGGATGCTTTTAATATCTTTTGTAAATTTAGAATTTGAATTAGAAATGATTAGAAAATTATTATTATACCAGAAGTGTAGCCGTGTTGTTATCGCGAACATAGTAGACACTGTGTCGAGCACCATTAAGAAAGTTCCTATCGTTGAGACGTACTCCATGGGCAGAGCCTTCTCTGTCTTCCTCGAAGATTAATTGACCTTCCGACGTTAGAGCAACCAGTAGATAGTAGCTTCTTCTGGAAAAAAAATCATTCGAAAGACATCCAGAATTCGTGGAGATTTTTAAGAACATCGTCCACAAAACCGTGAGAAATAAATTAAATTAAAGGATCATTGAGAGTTTACTTGTTCTCTGTTTGCAAAAGCAGGAGCGCTGTGGTGCGTTGTCGAAGTTCATTAGTGGAAAATGCTAATTGAACCTTCACTTGGCTAACTTCGCCAACCAGATCGAATTCGCGTTGCAAAACGCTCTCGCCGCTAAAGTCTGCTCCCTTTTCTAACAGAAAATGAATTAGAACATTTTCCGGAACATCGATCGATAATTAAATATCAAAATGATCGATACCATCGGCGCAATGTTCCCCAAAATAGGACGTCAGTTCGCAGTTGCAGGATGACTCCTGTCTGCCGAAATCCTCGGTGCAGATTCCAAGATTCTTGCAAGGCATAGCATCGCACTTCATCTGACAATTGGGAAGCACACCTTTGCTACCCTCGTGATTCGCCTCGTTAGCAAGGTTTGGTAGATCGACGAGGTACTCTCCGATCATCAGTCCGCGTAGACAACCCACGTAGCCCATAATCAGCGCACCCTCTTTGCCAACCCTCAGCAAATCGTCCGTGTCGAAGCCTCCTAGATTCACCTATGTAAGATCGCTGATCATTGCGTACATTCGGTTCGATTCGAAAGCCCGAAATCTCACCTGGAAATAGTTGGTGGGTGGTGCGGGTGGCCTCTGCGGCGCCAGCACCTCCTTCTCTGGATTTATCCAAGGTTTGTTGGAATACGCGTCAAGCAACACCGGTGTTGCATTCAGGGTGATGTTGTACTCGTTTACATGTAGAGTTGTAGTTTTCTCTGTGCGAATTATCGCGATTTGCACTGATATCCCTGTGTTTGCCCCTGGAAAATGGCTCGTCAAATTTTCTGAGTAACAGACAATTTTAAAGCGTTGGAGGATTAATTACCTGGATACTCAACAGTGATATTCTTTATCTCATTTCCAGCATTGAATAAATAGACGATGCTCGTTCCATTAGAAATGTAAAGATGAGCAAAATTGTTCAAATGATCGTTTGCATATAAAATCAAGGAATGAGTGTCGTAAGTTCTCAGATTGATCAGTATATTCTGTAGTAGTATCCCCTTCAACAATAGTTTCTCTTGATCATCTTCATCCGTGCCGAAATAATTTTTCTTCAGGAAAGCTCCTTGTGACGTGAACGTTAATGCCTTATTGTTAATATCTGAAGAATTTTTAACAATGAAAATCAAGTTTATTTTTATTAGAATGAGAATTTAGTGGAGAAACTTACTCCTCTCGCAAAAGGTGCCAAGATGAGCCCATCTGTTCTCGCAGACGCATTCGAAATTGCTCCATAGCTCTACGCACCTGGCTCCATTTTGACATTTGTTCGGTTGACAAGACGGTTTGCAATCTTTAATAATTTCTGATAAATGGACCGACATGTAGCTGTGTATGTCCAGGATCTCGCCATTCACGACGAGACCTCGGAAACAACCGATAAGTCCTTGTCGAACCGAGGAAGTTCTCAAGTGTTCCCTAAGAAACGTGTTTAACCGTACAGTTACATATTACATATTACGTGAAAATGTGTGTAACAAGAAAAGTGTAGCGATAAAAGAAAAGAATTTGGGCCCATTCGTACTAGGGTAGTGGCACTTCCCTTGAATATACTCTCGAGTCACTCGCGTGAACTGCGCATGCGCGAATTTTCCCCCTCCCCTCGGCTAGCGAGCCGCGATCGAAGGAGCTTGGGATCGATGCGAAAATCGTCATTGGTCGGCGAGCCGGCTTAGAAGCAAGTTTACTTAAGAGTTATTATTAAAGACGCGCACTTGTAGAGGTGATTCCCGCGAATGTGAGCATCGGTTGTTAGTTGAAAATTAAACAATTTTGCACACGTCGACGGGGATCGCACACGGCATTACCTGCGGAGAAGATTTTCAAGTGATCCTAGCAAGGATGCGACATACGTAAGAACATGAATCACGGCTGGACCCTTACGAATGACAGGTTAGTGTAGGTTAAGCCCGTCAAAGGGATAACTGAGAAATTCCGATATTTTAATTCCCGACGACAAATCTTTGTGTATATCGAGTGCGAAAGGCGTTCCGGGGAAGCGAATGTAACGGTAGTGTTGGAATTTGTTTACGTTTTTCTGTATGTTTACAAAATCGAATCGTGCGACAGAAGCAGCCAACGTAGAGCGCGGCTCTTAGGATTTCTCTTACTGGAAGGATTATAAAATTCCACGAATTGTTATTTTTTTTTTTGTACATAGGAGCCGAACTACGAAGTAAGTCACGATCAAACATATCTTTTCCTCCTCGCGAGGCAATAGCGAATAAGCGGTTACATGAGTTTATATTAAAAGTCATTAGAGAGTTATTTAAAAATAAGAAATATAAAATACTCACGCTGTAGCGCCCCCTATGAACATAGAACCCTCGAATGGTCCAAACTCTTCTTCAGGCAATAGATCAACCATCTGAAAGTCAGTGTTAATCATAAATCTGACGTGATAGTCATTATAATCGATCCAGATCTTCTGCCACTCTCCATTGTTCAATTTTCTTCTACTTTTCACTTCCAACTCTCTGATGGTACCAGTATTCAGGGTAAAATTAAATGTCAAGCGATATTCCGAGGTCAGAGCCACCATAAAAGAAGGATAGTTGCTTCTGATAGGCGGTTGATATAACAAAATAGCTTTTTCCCCAGTTGTTCGAAAACTGAAAGCTATATCTCCTTTTCTCCATCCTGGTACCTCGATATACGACTGCGAGGTCGTAAATGTTACTACATATTTCTGTGTATCTAAAAAAGTAGAAAAATATTTTTTTTTATAATTTGTTCATTATATTTGTTATTTTAATTAAATAATCTCTTACTCGTTTCGACACATTCCAATGGACCCAAGGTAATTCGACCTTGTGCATCCTCTTCGAGGTCTCTCTGTTGTAAGAAGACCATCCCTGTGATACCTAAAGAGTCTGGGGTCTCGTAGTAGCCTTCGTCGGACAGCCATTTACCGGCATTTCCGGCGGAAACATCACAGTTGCAGCTTAGGTTTGGATCAACGCAGGTTCTGTTCACTGAGCATGGATGCAAACAATTATAAAAATTCTAAAATTATAGCAATTATCTTAAATTCTGATACCAACTTCCACATGGACAGGAGCCTCTATTAACGTTTCCAATGTAATCCACAGTGGTACCTTTGGAACTTAAAAACCAGGTAGCACTGTGGAGTTCTAAAGGTGCCTTATAACAATCATATTTTACATATTGACTGCAGTATAACGAGTGTGAGATCAATTCTTGGAGCATTTCTGCAGTGAACTGTCTGTATTTTATGTTGAAAGAGAAATCAGACTCAGCAATGGATCTGACGTCAACTTGGGAGGGTAAATTATGTTCCACTATGGTTTTGGTAGAATCTTCGATAGATTGAAATTCGCATTTCACTAGAGCAGGTGGAAATCTTCCATTTCCATCGATGTCGATTTTATATACATCGTCCTGGGTGTATCCTAGCAAAGCCAATTCCTCGCACGTCTTTCTGTATTGAGCTAAAATTCCAAATATCATTGTCATCTAAACTGTGTTCAGAATTTCGATCATTCTCACTCACCGAAATGACAATTTTTGCCGATGTAACCGGTGTCGGTGCAATCACAGGTGATCCTGTCCTCTTTCACCGAGCATTTCCCTCCGTGTTCGCACGTGTTCGGCCTGGTACAAGGATCGACGAACTGGCAGTTGTCCAAAGCCACTTCCCCGATCACTCTTTCGGTGTTGACCACGTATCTGGGCTCTATCCTTTCGTCGTTCACTCGTATCTCTCTCATACATCCAACCAAGCCTGATCAAAATACACACACGTATATATTCACAGATTGATTCGATCGCGTCGATTCACAAACTTACCCGCGTTACTTTTTCCACTACCGATGATAACTTTGTCGCCCATTTCGAATGTCATGGAGAACAGTTTGCTCTGTTTGTTCCTGTAATCGACCAGGACGCTCAGTTCACCCTTCGTGTAATTCAATTCGACCGCGTGCCAGGACGTGTTATGGGGAAATTTCACCGCTGCTGAGACCGTGATGTTTTCCGTTAGAACGGGAAATAATTGGAAACGAATCTCGTCGTTCACCAAACGCAACTGGAACCGTAGGAAACAGTTCTTAAATTAATTTTGATTTTCATGGAGATATTAGAATGAAATTTATCTATTTCACGATTTTAAAGAATTATTGACAGGGGTGGGTTAATTTGAGGGGTAATAAAAATTTATTTTCGAGTTACCTCCCAATATCCAAGTCCACGGTTGCTCTTTACCTCCCCTGACGCGACCACCGCTATGGGTTTCGAACTTTTGAAATCAAAGTTCAATTTAAGGGAGTCGGTTCGAGCAATGGGCCACCAAATGTGACTCCCAGCGAAAGGATACGTTATGGGAATCACATCCACATCCGCATCGTAGTACTCTGGTTCTAACACCCCTATGTAATGTACCATGGGGTTGGAACGTTTTAGTTCGTAGATGATTGATTTGTCGTTGAAGAAAACGTATTTTAAGGAGCCTAAAAATGATTTAATTAATATTTTATTAACGTTGTGAAAATTATTTTAATGTACCCGCAAAATTATTGTGCGAAAGGAGGCCCTTCCTCTTGTGCAATTCCGGTCCACCGCCTATGTAAATTTCTGGATCGATGATCATGTTGTAATTTTCCCCAGGCACTTCAAGTACCTTTATCTCGTCGTCTAAACTAACGAAAACTAGAGATCCATTATGAAATATCGTTAAATTGTTCCAGTGATTCGAGGTGACGTAATCGCCTAGAACTGTAGCGATTTTCGAGTTGTGTCCGAAGTCTAACTCGACGTGAACAGATCCATTCATTATGGAGGCTGCTACGTAATGAGGTGTCCCATCGATTTCTCCAGATGCGTAAAACAGGGCTGAATCGTCCCATTTTGTCTGGACAAAGGATTATAAGATTGCATAAAATTGATAAGCCTCTTTATAAGAGAATCAGTGATTTACCTTGAAAGCAAGGCTTATCCTATTGACAGACGAGTGGACCCTGTCTTTCCAGTCGTAAACTCGAAAGGAAACGTAGGAAGATCCTCTTAACGTTAAGATTGTAGCCGCTGGAAAAAATCAATATTCATATATTTTCATACTTTCTAATTTCTAATTAACAAATTTACATACTGTACACGTCGCAACGTTCTCCTTCGTACTTGGTCCCAAAACAATCGCAAGTTAAACTATTATAGTGATTCACACACTGATTGGAGATGAAACAAAGATTCTCTTTTGTTCTGCATCTGAAATTTTCCCCAAAATTAAGTCATCGTATTTCTATCACTGATATTACATTTTTCAATGATCTCACTTGTCTATGCAGCCCTCCTTCACGTTTTCGTGCTTCGTCGCGATCAGTGGTTGAATCGGCAACAAATCGCTTGCCGATTTGCCCGAACTAAGAACCATATCTCTTATGCAACCCACGAAGGATTCTATTATGTACTTCACGCCATGTAATCGTTCCTCTGAACTTAATCCTAGGAATAGATGGAAAAATTAATTTTTCCACTTTGTAACTAAGAATTGATCGTTTTACCTCCAATAAGGACGACGGACGCAAGTTCTTCGGACACCCCATAATTGACCACGTGTTCCAGAACTTTGAGCGTCGTCTCTTCCTGTTTGTCGTCCACCCTGGCGATCAATTTCGCCCCGTGGACGTCGATCCTCACCAGAACACTGTGCCATTGATCCCTGTTCAATCCTTCACCCACCGTCAGACTGGTCGATCGTTTCCCGAACACGTGAACCACTTTCAGCTGACCTTTTTCAACGATCACATAAAGAGCGTAAGGATCTAGGCTCTCTGGTCGATCCTTCACGCTGTGGTAGACCAGCAGACCATGGGGTAGTTTTGTGCGAAATTTGAAGGATATCTCACGACACAGCCTGTGGATTCAGTCAAATTTTTCTTCTTGTTTGAATATTCAAACTTCTGCAGCTTCTGCAATGTGCAGAAGTACTTACCTAAGTTGAAATGGTTTTATACCACTGCCGTCGAGTTGAATGAACGTGTTGCTCTGCGCGAACATGAAGGTCTTTTCGTACCCAGATTCCATGAAAGTAAGTTCCTGTAAAATAATTCTTCGACTTTATTTTACCACCAGGGGTATCTGTTACCAAGTTAGTCGTGATAAAATGAAACCGACGATATTGAGCTTTCGTGTATTTGGAAATATAGGAAAATTTGGTTACCTTTCCCCTTTTGTACTTTGGCACGGGAGGTTTCGTCGGTTCGGGGGGTGAAAAGGTTGGTCGTGGGGTGACGGCAGTGGTTGAGGGCAATGTGCTTGTGGTTGTCGTGCTCGTCACAAATACGCTTCCCTTTGTGACCAAATAAGGTGGTAAAGTGTCTAAAAACAGTTACATAAAACATACAAATATTTACAATATATTCTAATTTTTTAATGGAAAAGTGGAATTAATATTCCTTACGTTCTGGACCACCCACGCAGTAATGAAGACATTCAGCTTCCGAATTGAAACGATTCTCATTTCCCAGACAGCCACCGTAAGGGAAAGTCCTGCATTTTCCTTCAGTCTTGTTGAAAGTCCATTTGTGAACCCACTGTTTGCACGGACCTGGCTCTTGTTTAACGAGACACCTGTCGGGAAATGTTCTTTTCGTGGTGGTGAATAGATCTATCTCGTCGGACAAATCCATTTCCGAGGAATCGGTCAAGTTCGCTAGAATCGTTCCATAAATGTTCATCCAAAAGAGGATCCTGAAGATCCATTTATTGCGCTCGTTCATCGTTGTTGTTTCGCTGAAAACGAACGTAGATGTTCTTCTGATCTATGCTTCAATTATTTCTTTATTTATAATAATATTTTTTCCGTTAGAAGAAAATATTCCAAATGGAAAAATTTGCATAAATATTGATTAGAAATTAGATTTGCAGTACCCGAT